TGGTAAGAGGGCATGAGAGCCAAAGCCACCCCGTAGGGAGGTGAGAGTGCTACAGGATGCAGAAACCGATGAAATAGTAACAGAAAATGACCCAAGATGGTCTTTCAAAGGGTTGGCTTTTCCTGCTCTGGGGATTATTTATAACATTTGGGCAGGGAATACTCATTGGTAAGGAAATAGCAAGGCTCTGGCTGCTGCGGTAGGAGTCAGCCAAGTCCTGGGCATCCCTTCTCATTGCAGGGGGGCTGGACCAGATGACCTTTAAAGGTCCCTACCAACCCAAACCATCCTGTGACCCTGGAATCCCAGTTAATCCCTGCAGCACAGGATCTGTGCAGGCAGCAGAGAGGCAAGCTGGGCTCAGCAGGCCACGGGGTGCGGGTAAAGATGTCCTTGCCATCAGGATTTGAACTGGAGAACCTGGATGCTGAGTACTCATTAGTGAATGCAAGCACAAGCAGGTCTGGATGGTAACAGGGGCTTGAGAAGTCAAGATACCCAGCTCCCACATGCCATAGATCTGAACTCCTCTGGAGAAGGAAATGTTAAGTACAACCAGCCTGGAAAACAGCTCTGGTCAACAAATGCCAAACATGGGGAGCTGGCAGTCTCTATCAACCCCTAAAGTTCCTTGTGCTCACCCAACCGTTGAGCTGCACCCAGATTAGAGGACACAAGGAGAAGCTTCACCTGCTCTTGAAGGTTCTTACTATCTACAGCTTGGGCTGAAACACTGTTTTGAATCCTAAGAAAACCCTGGGCTCTTACCCATATGTGACTGAAAGCAGCATCTCCAGCTGTCACGGTCACACTTAGCCAAGCACACCCCATTCTGTCCCTCTGAAGAGCACAGAGTCTCAGGCTCCACCAGTCTTTAACAAGGGATCACTTAGGAACCACAAGGGCAATGGGTGAAAAGTCGCACCAGCTCCTTGGAGCAGCTCCTAAACACACACATACAGCATGATCAAGGGTGTCCTTCACTTGAAACAGCTCCTAAACACACACACACACACACACACACATACAGGCTGACAAAGGGTGTCCTTCACTTGGAGCAGCTCCTAACCACCCCACACACAGATACAGTACCCAGGCTGCACCCCACTTTGGGAGAGGGCCCCGATGGTGTGAATGGGAGGGGTTTAATAATGCTGAAAAGGTTAATGTGAACACCAAAACATGCAGACGTGTGACAACTAACACAAATAGCTGTCTTACAGGTCAGTCCTCCAACCTCAAACCCCTCTCGTGTTACATAGACAAGGGGGAAGAGGTGCTGTAGGTGGTTGCCAGCTACATGTTTGCTATCCAGCCTGACCAAAAATGAGATAAATATCAAACTCCTGCTTTCCCTCCATGAGAACGCTCACTTAATTCCCTTCTAGTTTTTGCAATGCCTTTAGGAACCGAATGCATGAAACAGGCCAATGGGTCCAAGATGAGACAAACTTGGTCATATCAGCTATGCTTCCTTAGCAGAATAGACCAAAGATAACATGTTCAGTAGTGCTTTTCTTAACACTTCCACCCCAAAAATGATCTTTACCCCTGTTTGTTCAGTCACACAATCCCACAGGACACAAAATTAGTGGCCGCATCTTTGTATTGGTGTGCTACCCCAAAGCAACCAGGATCCTACACCAGCTATTAGGTGGTCGCTCCAGGGCTGGAAGAACCTATCAAAAATAGGTTGTAGCAAAGAGTGGAAATGATCCCTGTCAATAATTTGCCAAATCTGGCAAGTTTCAGGCAAAGGGCACGCACAAATGGACCCCTTTGCACATGCTTTGGAGGTCAGAGACCAAGGGAACAGCCAGAAGATGCTCGCAGGAGAGCGTCATGGTCACCTTGTCACAGACCATGTGCAGATGCAGTCTGGAAAGGTCACCAGCTACACCTGTGTCCACGTAGCAGATAGCACTGAGCTGTGATTCATGGTGCAACTGCAGAAATAAAAACATCTTCATGGGTGATTGCACTGCCACAGCCTCTGCCATCCACCACCATGGAAGGTCACAACAGCCCCAGTTCACCAAAGCTCAGGAAACTGCATAAGGCATTACAGGTGTAAAACACAAATAGAGTACATGTCCCTGCAGCCAGGCTCTGCTGGGTGAAGCACTTGGCTCCTCTACACAACACAAGCAGGGTGGGAAAATCCAGGGAAAGAAAGTGCCAAGAAAAATGAGGAAGGGGAGGTCTGATCCCAGTGTTACCCTGATAGAACACACCGAGGGTCTACCAAGACAGACTCACAGAATGGTAGGGGTTGGAAGGGACCTCTGAAAATCATCCAGTGCAACCCCTGCCAGAGCAGGATCACCAGAGCAGTCACACAGGAACACGGCCAGGGCTTTGGGTGTCTCCAGACAAGGAGACTTCACAACCTCTCTGGCCAGCCTGGGCCATGCTCCATAACCCTCACAGAAAAGAGGTTTCTCCTTATGATTAAGTCAAACCTCCCATGTTCTGGTTTGTGACCATTGCTTCTTGCCCTGTTGCTGGACGCAACCAAGAACAGTTTGGTCCCATCCTCCTGATCCCCACCCTTGAGATATTTATCAGCATTAATGAGATAACCCCTCAGTCTCCTCTTCTCCAGGCTGAACAGCCCAAGCTCTCTCAGCCTTTCCTCACATGGGAGATGCTCCAGTCCCCTCATCATTTCAGTGGCTTTATACTGGACTCTCTCCAGTCATTTCTTGAACTAGGGAGCCATGAGGGCACATTGCTGGCTCATGGTCAGCTGCTGTCCACCAAAACCCGTAGGTCCTTCACCCCTGAGCTGCTATCCTAAATGATCAAGCACTCGTTACAGGGGTATTGCGTTAAACCTTTGAAGCCTGACACACTTTCCCTCCCCTGTGACCACTTCTGCAGCTGCTCCCAGGATCATCAACATCAGCGTCAGCTCCAACGGGGATGGCACCTTCCAGGCCCGCTGCACTGCCGAGGGGGAGCCAGTGCCCACGCTGACCTGGACCGGGCCCCCCGTCAGCAACCTCACCTCCACCACAAGCACCAACCACCGCGTCACCAAGGAGCTGCGGTTCCTGACCCACGACGGGAAGTACACCTGCACTGCGGCCAACAGCCACGGGAGAGCAGAGGGAGCGGTGTACTTCTACAAGTTCAAAGCATCCAACAGCTTCTTCTTCCTCATCCTCATCTTCGCACCACTGGGAATTAAGGTGGTTGTTTTCTTGGTGATACTGGGCTTCCTCGCCTTCTCCAGAGGAGGTACGTGTCACCGTTTGCCTCTGTGTTCTTCCTCCATCAGACTGGTAACCAGCGATGGGACCTGACAGAATAAGTCAGGCAGGAGGGGTTGGGTTTGGTTTGGTTTGTTTTTTTTAAACTATTTTACGATTTTCCACCCTAGAAGGGTGGAATTTCTAATGGGAAATCTAAGAACAAGTGAGAGGGACCTCCTGGCTGGCTGGTTGTCTTCGTTTAGGCAGTTATTCTATCACCCAATGACCCCTTCCCACCTGAAGAAAAGGAAAGGAGACCCATGGGCTGAAATTAAAACAGATTTAATAAAATAATTTAAAAATCCCTAATAATAATACCAATATAATGTGCACAAAGTTATACTCACCTCATACAGTAGTCATGGGCTGTGTGCTCCCAGAAGGGAATGCTAAATAACAAATACTGCAAGCACCACAGCTCCAGGGATGGTCACGAGTGGGGGAGTAGGCTTTGGGAGCAGAATGACAGGCGAGACCCTCCAGAGATGAGAACCACTGAGGAAAGCACTCCAACCTCAGCAACCCACCCAATTTATGGTCACACCAAGGCCACGAGAGCAGAGAAGCCCCAGCTCATAGAAAATGAGCATCAGCTGAGGGATGAGACCTCCCCAGGAAGCCCAGAGGCTGCTGGACCCCAACCCACCATCCCTGCTGTGCCATGGTATGGGGAGGAGAGGGCCAGGAGGGGCTCTGGGCTCTGCCTCTCAGAGATGTCACATATCTGATATCAACCCCTTGAGAAAGCCACTGCTTGCCTCAAACTGTAGAAGCTGTAAGACAAATCAGAAACTTTTTGCTGCTTATATTCTAATGCCAAATTCCCACTCTCACATAGGGGACCACACACCTGACAAAAGGTCTTCTCCCCATTCACGGGGGTGCCGCCACCACCCTCCAGTGCGGTTTCCCAACAGCTCTAAGTCAGCTGTGGCTCCACAGCTCACTCACATTGCTAACCCACTTCTTCCTTCCCACTTTACAGGTCCCTCCTCCGCCCCATCCAGCCTGGCTCGGTAAGGCAATCTCCTGCCTTCTACTTGTGTTAGGAGGGTGGAGATGGCTAAGAAGAGAAATGCAACGTGGCCTTGGTCTCGGCAACAACTTTTTGGCATAAAAGCAGGCTCCTGGGACAAGGACAGGGTTGGGGAGATGGCCAGGAGAGCCAGTGTGAGGGATCAAGGCTTGGAGGGAGGAGGCTCTGGCTTGGGTACAGCTGATAACAGACCCAGTTGATGTGAGGATGTGGGACTGGGGCAGCAGGTTGGAGAAACCACGGCACATGGATGCAGCAAAGGCCTAGCAGAGGTTTAGGTGAGCCATAGGCCCAGAGCCTGGTAGGAAGCCACATTAGCAAAAGAACCACCCACCGGAGGGACAGACGAGGGGGACAGGATGGGATGGGGTCTGCACCAGGCTGAGGAATGATGAGCAAGAGGGGAAACTGCAACAGAAGCCTTCCCCTCCCTCAGGATCCCAGTCTCTACTGGGGCAGAAGAAAGGCTCACATCAAAGCTGATGAGATTTGTAAAGTGTGGAGGAGGTATGGAGATGCAAAACAGCCCAGCTCAGGGCCAGTCCAGGTGTGGCAGGGCCTAATTCATTGGCTGGTACCCACACCACACTCCCACTGTACCCTGGCACTTCCCATTGCCCAGCACACCACCATTTGATAGCTGTGGTGGCCAAGCCAGGAAGGGATGGGGAAAAAACCCCCAGACTAAACAACAAAACCAACTCTTAGGCTAAACCTAAAGAAGCCGTATCTGAGGTCAGTGTAACTCCATCTGCCTGGGGCTACTCCCTTCCAACCTGAGTTACCCCTGTGGGATGTCTCCTTCCCACACCTTATTCAAGAAAGATGGGCATTTCATAGCTGTGGTGGCCAAGCCAGGAAGGGATGGGGAAAAAACCCCCAGACTAAACAACAAAACCAACTCTTAGGCTAAACCTAAAGAAGCCGTATCTGAGGTCAGTGTAACTCCATCTGCCTGGGGCTACTCCCTTCCAACCTGAGTTACCCCTGTGGGATGTCTCCTTCCCACACCTTATTCAAGAAAGATGGGCATTTCAGATCAATACTACAGTTAAATTTGTAATAACTATTTGCAAAAGCATAGTTTTGCTGATTTAACAGTGTCTAAACCATTCTGCACCCTTGATTGTATTTGTTTAAATACATAAGTAGATAAAGCTTGAAAACCAAGATCCTCCATGCTCTACATGAGCAGATCCTTCTCAGAAGGGGTTTGCACAATCCCCTGAGGCTCTGAGCAGCAGGGCAGCAGCAGGAGTTAACGCTAACGGTGCAGGAGATCAGTCTGGATGCTTTAAGATGTAAAACATGAGATGCAACAGCCACTTATGAGGTCTAGAGCAGCCAGAAATGTGTCCTCACCTTGTCCCCTTCTTCTACTGCCAGGCCACAGCCGCAAGACTCCACCTACGAGAACTTTGACCGCAGGCACAGGGACCAGACTTTGCCGACAGAAAGAGCATCAAGACGCAGCTGAGGACATCACCCAGTTTGGGTCCTCTCTGCTCTGTACAAGGGGCCTTCCCCAGGGACCACAAGACTGCGTTGACTGATGCACAGGAGGGCCAGCAGGCCTTGCAGGTGCATGGTTTCCATCCCTGATGCTGCTTAAAACCAAGAGAAGCCTCCAAAGGGAAGAGAGAAGGAAGAAAAGTGAAAACAAAGAGGGATGGAG